CACCAGCACCAGCACCAGCCCCAGCAGCACCAGCACCATCACCACCACCAACAACTACAGCAGCAGGATAACATCAAGAAGAAGAGGTAGATGACAAGAACCTTAGCAGCAGTACATAACAGAAATAGTCGTCATCAAAACACACTTTGCATAACATTCGCGGCGATGTTGCTCATGATCGAAACATTTTCTAGCACAAGGTGATAATCAGATTTGATGGCAATGTGGCAACGATGTTGATAATATCAACTGAAAGGAGAAGATCACACTGCTAGCAGGACGGAAGGGATACATGGCAGTGAGGATATGCACATCCTTTTGGGAACCGTCTGAACTGTAAAAGAAAATTCGGTGGGTCAAGGCTGAAACACTTGTGGAGTAGGTGATAGCAGTACTTTTGTCGACACTGCTGCAAGCGGTGAATATGACGATTGTCGAATTGATACGAGCAGTTGTACTCAGAAGAGTAGTCAGGACAAGAACAGCAACAGAAGTGCTAATGATGACAGACTGTCGAATTTGTTCCAGAGGCAATAGTGGCAATAGCATTAGTACTGTAGTAGCAGTGGCATCAGCAGCTGCAGTAGTCGCACGTCGTAGCAGTCGCAATGGTAGCAGTAGCAGCACCGTCAGCAGGAGCAGGAGGAGTAGTAGTAGCAGCATTAGGAACAGCAGCAGCAGTGACGGTATTGGCACGATAAACGTCGTCGTTGTACTCCGGCCTCAGGCAGTTCAAGCTTGCTCAAGTTCTCCGGCTCCGCCAGTCTGCCCCCGATGGTTCCTCGCAGCTTTCAGCATGGAAATAACGGGCTGAGCTTCCGGGGTTAGCCTTCCGATCCGCAAAGACGACTGGAAACTAGAAGGAAGTCCACTTTAATTACCTTACTGCAACCTGAAAGATCACCACGGCTTGTAGAAGTTGGGCTGCAAACCTCTGAGGAATGCGCCAGGTCGCGGATCATGTGACCCCAACTTGGCGAAACGACTGCGGAGCATCGCCGCGTCCAACGTGCACACGTGGAGAAGACCTCGGAGGAACAAACAAATGTTTAGTTTGTTTTATTTTTGACAAGCTCCACTCTGCACAAGCGAATCTCATGAACCCCCTGCAGTCGCAGCCTTACCACAACAAACCGCAGCTTGCAGAACAAGGTCTCGCGCATCTTACAATCTGACCTGAGCCCTCTGCAGAACTGTCAGAGCCGGGAACCCGGCCCAGGCCATCTGCTGTCCCTCTAAGCTTTCGGAGCCGGCCAGGCGGGTCACTCGCTCCGCGAAGACCACCCAAAACCTTCTGCGGGCTATCTGACGGCTTCGAGGCTTCAGTGACAGAGTCAAGATAGCGGAGGTATCTCGACAGTTTTTGAGAGTTGCAGGAATTCACATCTGAACACGTGTGGCTTCTCAACCCTGCACAGTTTTGGAATATGGAGGCCATTGCTGGATGGGCCAAGGTCGCTTCTAGGCAGGGGACCGCTCAACAGCCCTGCAGGCCTGATCGTGCCAAAGTGCCTACCTTTCACATTCTCCCCTAGGCCAGTCTGGTGAGAATACGAACAGTCATCATGAAGGAGGAGGAGAAGAGGAGGAGGAGGAGGAGGAAAGGTGATGGCGGTGATGATGATGATGATGATGATGATGGTGGTGCTGATGATATATGATGCTGCTTATGATGCTGATGATGACGAGGTTAGCTGCATTACCAGGACCCCCACTCGGACGCCAAGCGCGAGGTACCTCGGCAACTAGAAGTTCGGCTGTAAGGGTGCAGAGCCTGACAGGATTCGGGTTGCAGGAAACTCGCCCATCCCTGGAAGAACAAGCCGAGTCCGGCTCAGCAGAGCAGAACACACAAGTATTGAAACAGAAGTACCACTTACTGTCCAAACCCGTTCAATGACTGTAGAGGGGGCTTAAGAGTAGGCTTTGGAAGGTACCCATGTCAGCTCTTGTTGAAAATCGAAACGCCTTGATTGCTCAGCTTGACATGACTGCATCCCGTGCAATCCAGTGTGGGAACTAAGAAGAAGGGAACAAGGCCTTTGACAAGAGCACTGGAACTCCTCTCCAGAGCCACAACCACATTCGACTGAACCCCAAACTCCTCAAGGCCCGGCATCCGTATGAAGACACGCGGCAGGGAGCGTGCATGGAGACAGCCTGCTCGCGAGTCTCTACGAAAAAATGAACCCCGAGGATGCCACTGGATGTTTGGGGTATCACTGGTTTTTATAAGGCTTCCAGCGGCTTCCAGGCTCCAGTCCCCCAAGTAGCACAGGAGCCTCAACTGCTGCCCTACTGTGATGCTAATTAGTAGGGTTTAGGGTTGTGTGTAGGTTTAGGGTCATGGCAGCTATCCAAGACCCATCAATGTTTAGGCTTTGGCCTGTGATGGGTCTAGGTCTCATATCTTTGTCGCGGGACCTGAGTTCGTGCAGATTGCTCCATGATTGCCGCGCGGCTGCCGCTGTACTATACTCCTTACCTTCCGCCTTCGCTTATGCACCTATGTTCTCTCGCTGCCGCTCTCATCATTCTTTCTTCCGGCTACTGGTACCATCTGTTGGGAGATAGGGCTCCCGTGGCCTCTCCGGTCTCGAGTAGCTGCTGCGGGTTGCCGAGCCGGGAGCCCCCTACGAGTAGCTGCAAGACCAGGTCCTCTCGGGGCTTCTCCGGGCGTCGACGTTTGAAGCATCGGTTTCGGGGCATCGGTTGGGTGTCCTGGTGGGTGGCACGGGGCGATGCCAGGACAAAACAGCTGCCTGGTTCAGTTCATCTTTGCTCGACGCAGGACGGGAGGCTGAAGACATCACCGGCGAGACTGATAACTAGCAAGCGGGAAGAGGAGAAACTAAGCCAGAGCGAGCGCGAGAGAGAGAGAGAGAGAGAGAGAGAGAGAGAGAGAGAGAGAGATAGACAGACAGACAGACAGAGGGGCTGAAAGTCGCAGAAATATGGACAGAGATGCAGAGGGCGGAGACAAGGATGCAGAGACACAGGGAAGCAAAGACAGAAGCTGCAAAAAAGCAGGCGAACAGCTGCCGCAAACAGAGAGACAGAAACGGAAGGATGGAGAGGGGGGCCGATAGATGGGCGGGTTCGAAAATTGGCTTGGTGGATCTTGGTGGTGTTCATCTGTCTTATCTATTCCATATCGACACAGCACAGCAAGAACCCCTGTCCCTGCAAGTGCAGGGGATCCGGTCCTGCAATGTCACAGCAGCTTCTGGCATGTCCTCGAAGCTTCCGAAACCCCTAAGCCCGAAAGCAGCAGCACCGAACTCGAGCTGTACAGGTCCGGACCGCATCAGTCGCCGCAGTCCGTCGCAAACGAAGGCAGTGCACAAGCCACTGCTTCAAGCTTGCTACAACCACAGCCCTTGACGCGAGCTCCAAAACCTTGCTAAGAAACCCCCTACCGCCCCGACCGCAAGTCGTTGGTGGGAAACTGCGAAACCATATAATTTACCCGGCCTCGTAGCCGTCATCTTTGTTCGGCCTCGCGATACAAGACATGTCGGCCCGGCATGTGAGACACCGAAGTCGTAGCTATGCTGCGATAACAATCAAGGATCAACGGGGTAGTCTAACATTGCACTGTTCTGTTGCAACCGCATATCGCTGGGAATCATGGCGCACCCCATTGTACAAGAAGCCTGCTGTCCAGAGCTTTCATTGCCTTTCGTTGCGTTGCACCAGGGATGTGTATCTTGAGGGCCAATAATTTTCCGTGCAACCTCCCCCCCCCCCCCAACTCGCTGGTTGTGCGCTGCAATGTGGTCACAACACTCTGACGCACGCGACAGCCCCGAAGCGGGAACCCGGCCTTAGCCAGAGCAACTGCCCGTGGCCTGCAAAGGCGGCTAAGACCAGGCGAAGCTCCGCCGGGGCGAAGCCCCGAACATGGCCGCAGACCTGCCACTTTCTGATCGGAGCCCGAGATCGGAAGTGTCAAAGTCCATGTGCAGGCGATGCAGGACTTGCTGTTGCGTGAAAAGTCCTTACTCGATCTTTCTCTGCGAGTTCAAGCCAACGGTAGCCAACAAAACAGTGTTGTCAGTCGACAGGTGACGGGCTCCGATACCCCTAAAGCCTGAGTCCCTTCACTCCAACTCCGAAGCTCTCAGTTGGACCTGCGCTATGATCCTGGCTGCAAGACAAGGGTGAGCTCACAGTGGAGGGGGGGGATCCTTCTGAGACCGCAGCTCCACTTGAAGCTCGAAACTAAAGCCCCAACCCTGGAGTCTTCTAACTTGAATAAAGGCTCGAATCAAGCCTGAAGCAACTTACCATGCGGGAGCTCTCAGAGCAGGGCCTCGGGCAAGAACGTCACAGGTGCTTTCCCAGCCTCTGCACACGAGGTTCAGCTGCGAAACTCGCAAGTAAACACTCCTTATCACTCCTTCTCCCTGAAAAATAACTCTATCCAACACCCGGTGCACCGAAACCCGGACCCCCACATCCTAAACCTCGACGTACCCGCAACAACATTCAAGCCTCAAGAAGTAGCTGTCTTTCTCCCATTGCTCCCTTCATAAAGCAGCTACTGCGAGCCTAGCTAAGCCATTCCTGCTCAATGTTGCCTCGGTCGCACCCGCCACGGCATAAGGACGAAGCTTCGCCAGCAACCGTGCGCGGGACGCCCATGGAGCCGCACGGGACATGAAAGTTGTGAGCTTGGGAATTCTACGGATGAAATGGCAGGGGAAGGGTTTAGGACTTCGGGTGCAAGGACTCGATGACTGGCCACGTGGAGTTTTTGCTAAGTCTTGTTCGTGCGTTGGGTCTCGGGTCTTGAGACGGCCTGGACCTTTTCCGCCACTAGACATGACTAGACCACACACACCTACACATTTTTGCAGCATGCAACAACAGATCAGGACTGTCCGAGATCGTGTTGCAACTTCCCTGAGGGATCACACCCGCTGAATGTCTCCGGTCCCAGCCAACAAACTCGATGAAGGCATTTCATGTCTCGTCTTCCGGATACATCGTGGAAACTGGGAACCCGAAATAAAAGAATTGCTACATACTCAACCTTCTATCCCTTCCGAAGAAACGCATCTGCTGCTGGCGGATGGTTTTCTCCTTCCACTTTGAGGACTCTCGGCTGCGTATTCGTCTAGGAGTCCAGGAATCAAAGGATGAATCGGTAAGGGGCCCTAAAGGGGTTCCATAAGCCAGCGGCTCCATGATCAGGGGAAGGGATAAGGGGTATCTTCCAAGACACCTTGCAAAGCCTGCGCTCCTGGCATGCGACAGACCTACGATTTTGGGTCAAAGATGTGAAAACTTGCCCACAGCAACTCGCATGCAGCCAAGATTTGCTGCAGAGCCTCTGGGTTTCGGGATGGTTTCGGGCTCTGCTGTTAGTGATTCAGGCCTTTAGGCCTGATCGGTACGCGGGTTTCGACGTGAGGGATTGCATCTAGCAGCCAAGGCTCACCTACCTTCTCTCAGAAGCTGCCACACAGTGGCAGTCGTCACCTAAGGGAGGTGAGACCTGTCGCGCTCTACTCTTGGGATGCTCAGCCTCTAACTTAGACTGACTTTATACGGCTTAGGGTTAGATTTGGGGACCATTACTTGCGACAAGGTACCCGATGCGAGACTTCACATCATGACCTACACAAGTCCGGCCACATCCGACGCCAAATTCACGCCATCAAAGTTCTTGACGACCTGAAGTCCCAGGCAGAGCCCCAAGGACACTGCATCCCAAAGGCTCAAGGTCCGCAAGAGCCGAGCTTGTTCAGAACAGGGACAACCATGGCCATGCATCTAGTAGTAATCCTCATAGAGCAAAAGCTAGAAGGTGTTCAGGAGGAGACATGTACGATTGATTGGAAAGTTGATCCCGGACCCCCCCCCCCCCACACCTTGCCGCTCTTGTCAATAAGCGTCTTGTGAGGGATGTACCTGAAAATCGCAGCGTCGTTCGTCGTCCTAGCAATAGCAGTGGCAGTAGCAGCAGCGCAGCAGCAGCAGCAGCTGCTGCCCAACTACTACTACTACTACTACTACTACTACTACCACCAGTGCCAGTAGCACAAGCACGAGAACCAGGACTAGTACTAGTACTCGTACTAGTACTACTGCTAATAATAATAATTACTATTATAACAACAGTAGTAACCATAATACTTACACAAAGTTTAATGTTGCTGCTGCTGCTGCTGCTGCTGCTGCTGCTGCTACTACTACTACTACTACTACTACTAGTGATACCAATACTAGTACGTATGCTAATACTACTAGTAACACTGTTACTAATCATAATAGAAGTAGA